AAACCTCATTCTGGATATCTGTCAACTTCCTGAATGGATGAAAATGTGGACATGTAGTGCATTTGGAGTTCATTCCACCAGGTCAGACTTTTAATCAAGCTTTCTATTTAGGGTTCTGAAAAGATTATGTAATAGTGTGTGACAAAAAAGGCCTGATTTGTGGCAGATGGGGGACTGGTTTTGCCACCACAACAATGCACCTGCTCATGTAGCCATCTCAGTGCACTAGTTTTTGGCAAAAAACAGCATACCTCTTTTTACCCACACACCTTATTCACCTGACTTCAAGCCATGCAACTTCTTTTTGTTTCCACAAATGCAGAGGGACATGAAAGGTCAGCAATTTGATGATGTAGAAGAGGTGAAGAAAAAAACGAGATAGGTGCTATCAGCCATCCAAACAGATGAGTTTGAAAAATGTTCCAAGAATGGAATCGCAGATTGGACAGATGAATGAAGTGTAGCGGAGAGCACTTTGAAGGTGATAAGGTTGTTTTGTAAAAATAAATAAATATATAGCTTTGAAAACAATTTATGTTTTGAGGGGGGTAACCCCTTGTATATAGACCTGAGTCATAGCCAGAAGGTGGTCAAGACAATACTAGGACCCCAGTTTTTAAACTGGAAAGCCTGAGTCTGGTTGGCTAATTTACTCGAGTTAATGCCCTAGTTTGTTGTGGGAGCACTTTCTGGGTACTGATCCACTTTTAAGCTCACTCTTGCTGAAGACAAACTGCCCCTCCTGGATTTGCCTTAGACTGGTGTAAACATAGCCAGCACGCATTAAGGAAGCAAAATAAAGAATTCAACGTGGTATCTGAATTTGTCAGGACAAAATGGACTTAGGGTTCCCACTGTAGACCCACGTCTTCCCCAAATAAGTTGTGTTATACTTTAAGCTGTAATACAATCTTCAAGAGAAACTTGGGGAGTTCTGACAGCAGAGTTAAAGCATGGGAAATATAAGCTTCAGTTTGAAGTGTCCCTCTAATGCCTCCTCATTACACCAACAAAGTGGAACCCTAATGAATTAGCAGCATTGTTCTGATATGCTAATGCATAAAGAATCTGACTAACCTTCTTCCAATCCTTCCCGTTAATACTCAGGCTGACCTCATGCACAATGGAACCAAGTACTATCCATTCCTGTGCCATTCCCATGATTAGTAGTAGATTGGATCATTGTAATTCACAGGTTCTCACTGGTCGAGTTTTATAAGTAAATTGCCAGGCCTTTCTTCCTAGTTCATCTTAGAAAGGACACTGCTAACGTCTGCTCAGCAGCACAGCAATCTACGAGCCCCCCACTAAGGAAAGGTGGGTGATGTCTGGGAGTAATGAGGAGTCATAGCTGGGAATAAAGCCCAGGTATCCCCCATGGAAAGAAATTATTCTACTGCTGAACTGATGCTGGCAAATTATGGGACAAGTGTTCCATTCACGTGAAGGGACTCAGAATTGGCAAAAAATCCCAATGAGAACACAATGAAAGATAGGGAGTCAAGTGGGCAAATGCACAATATAACGCATCAATGACAGTGATCAATGAGCAAGGAAGAGAGGAGACACACATCTCAGAAATAGATGTTGAGTTTGCCCCTCCTACCAACCCTGGATTGTGCTCTTGGAAGAAGCCCTGATGGGGTACAGGCTTCTCATTGAGCTGCTAACTGCAAGGTCAGGGGTTTGAAGCCTGTAGCAGTTAGTCTCAGAAGGCCACGAGGGCAGTTCTCTACTGTCCATTAGGGTTTCCATGAGAAGATGAGCTCTGGAGGAATGAGAATGCTTCAAATCAAACTTATTATCTACTTAAAGGAGAAGAATGGGAAAATAAACTGGAAGGAACTAATTTCATTTTGAATTGGCTAAGATTATTTTGCTTGTCTCCAGAGGGAAATGGGGCTTTTGAAAGCTAAGTCAAATTCAATGATTAAAAAAATACAATTGTTTCTATTTCCCCCCCCCACAAAAATCACTGAGCTCAAAAGCTCAGACCTGAAGGCAGCTTTTCTAACCCTAAATTCAATGCACTTACAACAGTGGAACAAGTGATCACATTCCCTTTAACTTGCCGAATATTTGCAATTCTTGGTGACTTTTTTTTTTGTGCTCCTTCTGCTTTAGTTTTCTTTCTTTTTTAAAATCATTTTATAGGGGGCTCATACAACTCTTATCACAAGCCATACATATATCCATTGTTATCAAGCACTTTTGTACATCTGTTGCCATCATCATTCTCAAAACATTTTCTTTCTACTTGAGTCCTTGGTATCAGCTCCTCATTTTTCCCTCTCCCTCCCCTCATGAACCCTTGATAATTTATAAATTATTATTGTTTGTCATATCTTACACTGTTCGACGTCTCCCTTCACCTACCTTTCTGTTGTCCGTCCCCCAAGGAGGAGGTTATATGTAGATCCATTAGCTTTATGTTTCTTCTCTTTGTGTTCCCTCTACTACTTTTCTTCTTGTTTATTCGCTTAATGCTGGGCCTCTTGACAATGGCATTGGATGTAGCTGAAAACATAATAGTCTGGGTTAAAAATCTCATTGACTATAAGGATGAATGCATTCTAAGATTATTTTAGTTCCTAAGGCTGCGGTAACAGAGAACCTCAAATTGGTGACACACAGGAAAGACACTGTTCTGAAGGCTACAAACCCAAATAAGCTTGTCAGTAGGCCCATGCTGCCTCTGAAGTCTCTTGGATGGTCTCTTTCTTTGGCCCTCCTGGCTTCTGGTAGCCTCAGGGGTACCTTGCATTGTAGATGTATCAAGGATCATCCTTCCTCTTACTCGTTGTCATTTCTCCCCATTTTTAGAATGCCAATCTGATTAGGACTTGTCTTCCTCCAAAATGACGTGCAAATATCTGTTTCCAAACAAGGCCATGCTCACAGGAACTAGCGCTCTGGACTTACTTCATACATTTTAGAAGGACACAATGCGATCCATGAAAGAGACCAAATACCTTGTGCTACTTACGACCACTGGTCTTACTGTTTGCCAGATACATCTATCCTTGGACCACATTTTTCCACTGTTGTGATTGAGATGACACGTTGGCACATCCCTGAGGGCCGACTCAGGGAGTCGGTGATGGAGGAAAGAGCTGTCTACCTGAGCTCTGCAGCCTCTACAGACAAGCTGAGCTGTAAAACCCTCTGCTCACGGGTTTTGGTAGAATCTAGGTATTCAGAATTGTTGTTTATATAAATGTAACGCCAGAGGTCTTAACAACAAAGGGAGAGCTTATTTCACTGTGTCAGGGTCCCAGAGTACAGGCACAGTCTCAAATAATTAGGAGGACTAGACAAATGCAAACAACATAGGACTCATTCCAAAATTCATACTGAGACCATGACAGAAATATCTGAAATATTCTCTGATGAGAGACCATGTGTTTCCTAAGAAACTGAGCACTGACCTCCAAGAATGCATTTGTTTTTTGATTAGTTCTGGGATTTAGATAAGCTGCACTGGTGTCACTGGTCTCTGGTCTAATAAATATGATTCTTGTTTGTAAACATAATCAACCATGTGAGACTGAATTAATTCCTCTCCATCTCAGACTATATATTCCTGCCTCTACTGCCTTCTCAAGGCAAAGCCTGTACAAAACCTCTAGCTGCCTTGCTCATTCATTAACCCTTGATAATGTATAACGTATTATTATGTTGTCATATCTTACACTATCCGACATCTCCCTTCACCCACTTTTCTGTTATCTGCCCCAGAGGGAGGAGGTTATTTGTAGATCCTTATGATCGGTCTCCCCTTTCTACCCCATCTTCTCTCCACCCTCCTGATATCACCACTCTCACCACTGGTCCTGAAGGGATCATCTGTCCTGGATTCCCTGTGTTTCCAGTTCCTATCTGTACCAGTTTACATCCCCTGGTCTACCTTACTGGATTTGTAAGGTAGAATTGGGATCATGGGGGGTGGGGGGATGGGGAGGAAGCATTAAAGAACTAGAGTAAAGTTGTATGTTTCATCGTTGCTACACTGCATTCTGACTGACTCGTCTCCTCCCCACGACCGTTCTG